TCAAGAGTCATTCTTTGACATATCAGGCTCAGCTTCTACTACGTCCAACCTAGGGTCCAATGAAAATTCTTCAAATCCCCCACCAAACCCCACCAAAAATCCTTCTAGTCTATATCACATACAGCCTAGTGAAAGTCCATCATTCGTCATCTAGCCCTCGTTGGCAACAATTATCATTCCTAGTCTTGGTCATTTCGCATGGCCCTTGTCTTCAAAAACAAAATGGGGTTCCTCAATGGTTCCATTCCAGCCCCTGCCGCCACAGACTCGTTATTCCCTCAATGGGAACGATGCAACACACACATCATGTCCTGGTTATTGAACTCTCTATCACCTTCCACAGCTCAAAGTGTGATCTACCTTGACAGAGCTATCGACATTTGGGCCGATCTTCGTGAACGTTTTTCCCAAAGCGCTTTACTCCGAATCGCAGAACTTCAAGAAGAAGTATGTTTGTGGTTGTTCTGCAAAAATGTGTCATACATAGGACTTCATCATCAGGTTCCTTAAAGGTCTTGATGATCGTTTTTTAGTGGTTCGGTCTCAAGTGCTCTTTATGGAACCCCTACCGTCCGTAAATCAGATTTTTTCCATGGTCATTCAACACGAACATCAACAACTAGATGTCGTTTTTTTCCACTAATGAGCCTAACTCGTTCGCCAATGCTGCCATGGACAGAGCTCGAAGTACCACAAACAAAGCCAACTCCTCGAAAAAGTGTAGTTATTGTCATCGTCCCTACCACACAATGGACGTTTGCTATAACACGCATGGTTAACCACCGGGTCATCCTCGTTATCCCGGAAGGCCAAAATTTAATCCTTGCACTGCTTCTTCAGCTCACGGTACCGTTAGTGATGCTTCTTCCATTGAGGAGAAGGAGACCAATGAGAGCTCCACTCAAGATTACGGGCTTAATCTCACTAGAGCCCAATTTCAGCATTTACTTAGTCTTCTCCAGCACACTCCTCCTTCTAGTAATTAGAGCTCAATAAACAACGACCAGCCCAAAAGTGTCAATCTCTTTCTAAAGAGCCCAATCCCTTCACTTGGTTCCAATTTGGGTATCCCTTTCATTTTTTGCGCCACCACACACGTTTTTTCTCACACATGCAGTATCTTTTTCTTCCACTCCACCCCCTAGATTGTAGATTCAGGGGATACAGACCATATTGCATCTTCTCTTATTTTATTTCAAGTCTATACCAAAATCAAACCCACTAAAATAAATTTACCCAATGGTTCCTCTATCACAACAAATTTTTTTGGCATCATACATTTTTCTCCTTCCTTTGTCATCCATAATGTTTTTTATGTCCCAGAATTTAATTTCAACCTTTTGTCTAATTCCAAATTGCTTTCTATTTTTTGTTATAAACTCACTTTTTCTCATGATTCTTGCCTAATACAGGATGTGAAATCCTTAAGGATGATTGGTTTGGCTAAACTACAATAGGGTCTCTACCATTTGGTAATCAGCAAGGAACCTTCCACCTTACACACTGTTCCATCCTTTGTCAACTCCTCCACCACTAGTTCCATCACCATGAACAACATTTGGCATTTTAGATTAAGACATTTATCTGGGAAACGTCTTCATATTTTACATTAAAAATTTCCTTTTATTTCCAAAAATTTCAATGAAACTTGTGATGTTTTTCATTTGGCTAAACAAAGAAAGTTGTCTTATTCTTCTAGTAATAGTAGAGCTTCCAAAATATTTGATTTAATTCACATGGACATTTGGAGACCCTTTTTCCAAAGCTTCCATTCATGGTCACAAATATTTTCTAACTATTTTTTATGATTATAGTAGATACAGTTGGGTTGTTTTACTCAAATCAAAAGTGGAAGTCCATCCGAATGTTCAAAATTTTGTTGCTCTCATTGAAAATCAATTTGAAACAAAGGTTAAATGTATTAGATCAGACAATGGTCCAAAATTTTTCTTAAAATATTTCTTTTCATCAAAAGGCAATTTGCACCAAACCAGTTGTGTTGCCACTCCACAACAAAATGCCAGACTTCAAAGAAAACACCAACAGATTCTCAATGTTGCCAGAGCACTCATTTTTCAATCAAATGTGCCAATTCATTTTTGGTCCTATGCCATCAAACACGATGTTTATCTCATTAATCGTGTTCCTTCTCCTATAATTCAAAATAAAACTCCTTATGAGTAATTACACAAACAACAACCATATTTTTTCATGATTAAAATTTTCGATTGTTTATATTAGGCGTCCACACACACACATTGTAACAAAATTTGACCCACGTTCCAGACGTGGTGTGTTCTTAGGTTTTCAAAATGGCACAAGAGGTTATGTTCTTTTGGATTTGGATACAAAAGAAATTTTTATTTCTAGAAATGTGTTTTTTCATGAATTGATTTTTCCTTTTGCTCTAGATAAAGAGCTCAATATATCCTTGTCTCATCCCAGACCCAATCCACCCAATCCATCCTTGTCTCATCCTAGCCCAACTTGGTCTTCATCAGACGTTGATTCCTACTCACCCATTATACCCAAGAGTCAAAACCAACATTATGCAACCCACATTCCTCTACAGAAAGTGTTGCAGCCCCAAATTCCCCTCTCGTGACAGAGCCAAACTCACCCAATTCACCTCTTATGACCGAGTCCCTCAATCCATCCATGTTCGAGCCCAATTTTCCCTTCTCCTTTCCATCTGGTTCATCCTTCCTAAACGCAACCATGCGACAGCATAGTGAACCAGACCAAACAACACCCCTTATTCGTCGCTCAACTCGCCCACATAACACTCCACCTCACCTTGCTGATTACGTCTGCAATTTTACGCCAACGCAATTATCCACAAAGTGTTTACATCTATTGGAATTTGTTCTTAGCTACACTTTTGTGTCTCCTTCTCACTGTCACTACCTCATGTCATTGTCTTTTGAGCAAGAACCCACTAATTATCAAGAAGCCATAAAGCAACATTGTTGGAAGGAGGCTATGAAAATTGAAATAGAGGCTCTAGTGCTGAATAAGACTTGGGATATTGTTGAAACTCCTCTGAATGTCAACCGATTAGGTGCAAGTGGATGTACAAAATCAAATGACGACTAGATGGGACTATGGAACGCTACAAAGCCCGACTTGTAGCAAAGAGATTCACACAGATTGAAGGTATCGATTATTTCGAAAGTTTCTCTTCTGTTGTAAAGATGGCAACCATACGACTTGTTCTTGCTTTGGCTTCTGTCAATAGATGGCATCTTCAACAGCTTGATGTTAATAATGTGTTCTTACATGGTAAACTTTCTGAAGATGTCTACATGGTTGTTCCTCCTGGTGTCATGGGTCACCACAGTTCACTGTGTTGGAAATTAAAGAAATCTCTCTACGGTCTAAAACAAGCGAGCATGAAATGGTATGAAAATATGTCTCTCTTACTCTTATCTTATGGATATAAACAAGCTCATGTTGATCACAACCTTTTCATTAAATATGATGCCTCTGATTTTACTGCTCTGATCATATACGTGGATGACATTGTTTTAACTGGGAATTCTATGCATGATATTGCCCATATTAAACAAATATTACATTCACATTTTCATATAAAAGATCTTGGTCTTTTGAAATATTTTCTAGGTATAGAAGTTGCTCATTCAGATGCAGGAATCTCTTTGTGTCAACGGAAATACTGTTTAGATCCCCTTAAGGATTCTGGTATGACAGGATCTAAACCCTGTTCCACACCCATGGACAGTGCACTTCATTTGCATCAAGATTCCACTAAACCTCTTGTTGATCCACTTTCGTACCGAAGACTTGTTGGTCGTCTATTATATCTTACAAGTACAAGTCCTGATATCACTTTCAGCACACAACAACTAAGTCAATTCATGAGTAATCCTACTCATATGCATCTTCAAGCAGCCATGAGGGTCCTTCATTGTCTCAAAAGCAGCCCCGGGAAAGATTTGATGTTGAGGCGTGATTCTCCTATCCAAATTCTTGGTTTTAGTGACACGGATTGGACAATCTGTGTTGATTCAAGAAGGTCTGTTATAGTGATTATTTTCCATTATTTGTTCTTATCCATGTGCTATAACATTATATATGATGTATTTTTCTTTCATCAATAATATATAGAATTCATTTTAATATCTTCTCTTTCTTGTCTTTCAGTCTTTCCCTTTTATATATACCACTAAATAGGTATAAAAAGCAAATATCTAAATATTTTGAAGCAGACGTTAGTGTGAATCCCCGTGCATCAGATTCAAAGTAGAATTAAGGACACAAGATACATCTTTTAATCCGTCTAAATGTTACGACAAAATAACTATCTTTGAAATCATACTCAACTCTTTTCTTTTCCCAAGAAAAAGATCCACCGATATTCTAAAGTTTGTTTTCAACCACTGTCTCACCTGAGAAGGAAATAAATCTTACTCTTCTCTTACAAAACCTTCAAATTTTATTGAACTGTCAAGTTAGAAATCACATTTCGAATCTATCAACCTAGAAAAAATTGCATATAAAACAAACATTGAGAACTTATAAGTTTAAAAACTACTTTAAAAATATATTTTTTTTTTTACTTTTAAAAACATTTTCTTTAAAACAACTGAAATCAGAATTATCAAACATTTTCTTTACTTTAGGACCATTTATGAATTTAAAACGACCTTAAGGAGGAAAACTTGAGATTTCACAGAGCATATGTTCACAGAACAACCTGGTATTACTGTGCTATCGGATAATCCTTATGTCAATTCTACAAAAGCATTGCTTATGATGATCATTACACAAGTCTTTTGATTCCTTTATCACTATTATCAATTCCATTTACATTAAAAGTTGTGATAAGATAGTTAATCTCCTCGGAACAAATCCTAGAGAGGATCTTCGTTTATCTAAATCTGTTAATTATCAAGTAATATATATGGGAAGTTACCTTGGAATTTTAAAAATCGGATCGCACTACCTACAATTTTCAACTGTGGTTTGGTGAACAAAACAAAACCATCACTAATTGCTTTGTATAAATGATTAGTCCGCAAAGTAGCATTCAAGAACATCTCAACATCCCATATCACATACATTCACTTTGCCAAACTACATCAAATAATAAAAAACCTACAGTGATTTAGTTCAAAATTTACTCCGCAAAGCTTCCTCTAATTTTCGGAAAATCACAGAGAATGCTCCTGCATAGAGAATAACCCAAAACTAGACAGTTATTACTATATAGCAGAGGTGCTGCCACTTGATCTTAACCATAGCAATTAGCAACATATCAAATGTAGGAACCAATGTCTAAGGTACAAACATGTGACATGTAGGAAGCCAATGACAGTTAAAAAAAACAAGAAATTTTCAGTAATGTGGTCAGCAAATTATCAGACTGATTGCATTTATTTTATGATGCACATCAAACCCCCCTAAGAAAAATAAGTTATTCCACCAAAGCTATTTGTAGTTTCTAGACAAAAGTGCTACACTAAAATAATGGAAAAGACATTTAGAAAAATTAAAATTGGAAAAACAGGTTAGAGAAAAACCTGATAACGGGCTATCCTTGTCTTGTAATGAGCCTTTCACCAACAGTGTCCCAGGGATTTGCTGAAAAACCTGTACGATAAGATACATAACTTAAGATCAACGTAAATTCTGCCAACCAAAGTCAATTTTGAAAGCCAGGTAAGAAAAGATAACAAGCATACCGATATTCGAAAGCATAATCTCTCGAGAGAAAAATTCAAACTCGATTCATTAGATGTCTCTCTTGTAGGTTGGCAATCAGTGGAATCATTGACAATTGTTAATTCATTCCTCAAGATTGAATCACACTCATCTTTTGTTACTGCAACCTATCATAATGAGATCGTGATTAATAGCTATGGTAAGGACATTAAATCAGAATCTGAGTCTTAAGAGTGACTGATCTTACATCCACTGTGAAAGAGGAGGTATTCAATGAGCAGGATAGACCATATGAAGAGAAGTGAGACTTAACACTTTCCAACACATTAATGGCACCATGTTGGCGTTGAAGACCCTGAAAAATAAATCTGTTTCAACACATTCGAGGAAACAAAAAAGTGACCAGATACATGAAAATGTTATAGGTGTAATTAATCACTATGTCAAGCCAATTTAACACGTACTTCATATAATTGAAGATCTTTTTTCACTACAAGAAAATCATTAAATAACAACCAAATTTTAGAGACTAAAATAATTAGTCATTATATTGCGTAAGTTAGATATCATTTTATAATTTAAAAATTATTAATATCTAAAATAGTCTTTATTATTAATAAAAATTTATAATTGATAGAGTCTAAATTGGTCTCTAACATTAACTACTAAAGTTTTAGTTATTTTTATTTATTATTATTGATTCTAAATTAGTCTCTATTTTCAAATTAGAAACTAATTTAGAATCAATAATAGTAAGTAGCTAAAAACATTGGTAGCCAATGCTAGAAATTATTTTATGTACCAATAATTTTCAGTTTATAAAATGATGTCTAATCAATATAATAACTAATTAGTTTTTGTCACTAAATTTGGTTGTTATTTAATGATTTTTTTGTAGTGTTCACACTGGAAATCAAAAGAACATTTGTCCCTACAGGAAACACAAAGATATTGGGGTTCCTACATGACAACCTTGTATGCAAAGGATGTATGCACTACCAAGAACTGAATTCTCAACCAACTAGAGGTACGCATCAAATAACGTAACCTAACTATAATACACAAGAACAATTGCTTTCGTGTTTAATAGTTGTCCAGGCTTCTGAAGTTTGAACTTAACCAGTTGTACTTCCATCTAGCAGGAAGTCTCCTCAAGTTAGACACCATGCATATTATCTCAGAATATGCACACCCTTCTCAAGTTGATGATACAAATCCCGAGCCTTCTAGTAAGCAGACATATTGCTCTTAAAACCCTTTTTTGAATTAAATCTTACAAATTGACACAATTGCCACCTTCCAATACATATCCTATAATAAACCTTAAATGACTCTATTTTACAATAGATAAATGGATCTGTGCAACATCATATTATTAATACGATTGCACAATTCAATGATATGTTATTTTCTACTTCTCTTAAATTCTCACGAAAAATTTTAAATTCATATAAAGCTTAGCTTTTTGAACTAATCCTATTTTATGATTGCACAACTTTATTTATATAGTTATTTGTTAAGAAATAGACTTTAAACTTAACCCTACAAAATCAGCTTATAAGATAAGATTTGCACTTACTTATATATACTGTGAAATCGCTTTATCTCTAGTTGATGGGATTTCCAACACACCCCTCTCACACCAAGGTATATACATTTCATGCGTGAAACTGAACATTAATGGGTGGTCCGATAACAGCCTAGCAAGTAGAAGAATGATTACCTAACAACAAATTCCCCTAGGATAGACTTTTAAACCATGACTCTGATACTATGTTAAGTAAACTTTAAGCCTAACTCAATCCTATAAAACTGACTTGTAAAATGAGGTTTGCACCCACTTATATATACTATGAAATCGCCTTATCTCTAGTCGATATGAGACTTCTAACATTATTTAATTACTTCATTTCCAGTCTTCTAAAATAAAGGGTTCGAAAACTCATAATAACTAATAATTTTTTAGTGAGACTTCTATTAAGTTGTTTTATCTATTTCTAGTTCAAATAATTCACAATGAACACTACATGTCTGATTGACATTTGAAGTAATTTTTCATTGCCTTCTAAATCCTACTATTCACTGCAAATTATGACTCGCAGTTCAAAAATAAACACAGCAGTCCACGTTTCAAATGGTGATTTCTAAAGCTTTGGTTTTTAACCATGCCAAATAGTGTTGTGTAATCCATGTATATGCATGTGGGTTTGAGTCTAGATAAAAAAATGCCATAATTGCAAAAATGCAATATACATACTAGTACAGTCTACCTCAAGCGTGAAGGATGTGTTCTTTTTATTGGATAAAGAAATTGATGACTTCTGCACAGGTGGCAAGAATGACCAAGCAAGCCCCCACCGGTATGTCCTGCCTTGAACAAATTCAGTTGTCTTCACTATCGAAACGCCAACCCCCCAAAGTTTTGATACGAGGTACTTAAGATTTGACTTTTTACCAACCATTGAAGTGAACCACCTGTGAACAATTACAATGAACGAGTCCATATTTACTACAAGCACGAGGATGTAATTGCACAAATATGAAAAACCAGGAATTATTTTGATAAACAAATAGTAATTACCGAAAATGCTGTTTCAATTGTGTACTATCTTCAATGATACGAGTAATGAAGGCCCTTTCACCGCCAGGACAAACCATTTCACGAGAAGTTCCACCACAAGCCGTTTTGGGATTGAGTCCAGCTTCCTCCAAACTTTCAAAAAATGGTGGATTGCACATACAAAAATCAAACTTCTCACCGTCCCTGACCACACCAACAAGTATGGGAGGTCCACGATAACTCTTATTCTCACAGGCATGCAAATCAAGAGGCAAAGGAGCTACCTCCATATCAGTTTTTTTGCACAAAGTTATCTGGTCACTGTTCACTAAATCTTCAACTTCCACACAGGGAGCGTTATTGTCTTGAACCCTTCTGATTTCAATCAGATGAGAAATATGTGGATTACTACTAACATTTTTTTCTGCCCACTCAATTGCTACATCAGTCACATCTGCAGTCGGTCAATGAAAGCAAATTTAAATATCAATTTTGACAACAGTTACACAAACTAGACTGCCAAAAACAATGAATAAAACTTGGACAAATTTTCTTATTTTATTTTTGGGAATCCAAGGTATCCCAAGATGAGAGGTGAGAACTAATCCCTTGAGATACTAAAATTCATCTTTTAGCCTAAACCTCCAACAACATTCTTAAGGGGCATTGTCACACCATGTTGGTGTTCTTTACATGCTTGTGGATGACTTTCAATACCCAGGGTATCCACAGTTGAAGGTCAAGAATTAATCCTTCGAGGTACTAAAATTCATCCACAGTTGAAGGTCAAGAATTAATCCTTCGAGGTACTAAAATTCATCCAAGAGATTGACCTATCCCAATAGATATATTTTCACAAAAATTGACTAGAGATTGAATCCCTGGCCCCGTGCCTAACCGACAGATTTATTACCTACTAACCATGTGAAAAAAAATTGGTGTTCCTAGTGTGCTTTTGATTATATTTTCTAATGAAAATTAAAAATTTACCTAGCAATCTTCACAATCCTTCATTGGGCACATTGAAAGACTAAAGTTTAAATTTTAATAGAAAAATAACATCAAAATCATAGAGTTACATCTAACTCATAATTTTGTCGAAAAAAAATATACCTGATCCAACAAAACTCCAGCCATGGAGGGAAGCACCAAGAAGAGGGTAAATGCAGCTAGCTCCAGTTCCTATGTCGAATCCCCTGACCTTGGAATCACTTGAAATGTTCCCAGGAATCATGTTAGATAAAAGAAGATGTTCAAGCCAGTGAATGTAATTGGAGCGGTTGGGCACAGTGGGACAGAGTTGTCCATCGGGAATCCACCTACCAAACAGATAGCATCAGCAACAATATCAATATATGATTTAGCAGTGAGAGAGACATAGGCAGACACAAACCAAGTCAAAGTGTGACGATGATGGAGCAAGATACGTGTGAGTTCCCGTGTGGCGTTGAAGTCGGTCCAATCAATGGTGAGGCGCATATGAGAAGGTGAGGGTTGGACGAATGACTGGAAGGAAGGGTAGAGAATTGCCAAATGAGCAAAGTCTGGTTGGCTTTCTGAATATACAATGTCATTGCTTTCTTGTTGCTGTTTGTTTCTCTTCCTTTTCTTGCTCCCACCCATGTCTCTCAATCCAACCCTTTCAACTTTCAAACACAACTTTTTGTTTCTTTTCACATTCACACAATGTTCAAGGTTGTGGATTGAAATTGAGAGCACATTGTATGAAGTCAAGGTGCCATTTGCACATTTTCCTCGTCAGAACTGGTGTGGTGTGCAAGATTTTAAAACCCGCCTGTTGTTTTTAATAAATATCAACTAAACTTCATTTCCCATGTGCGAATTTGACTTAGTTATGGAAAAGTGTTAAATGCCTGAAGATATTGTACCATTTTAGTTAGATAAATTCACTAAAATTCAATCTTCAATGTTGTAAATTTTGGTAAAAAAAATGCATACACAAGATGGCATACCAACATGAATAAAATTAGTAATTGAGGTTTTTAGGCTTTTTTAAATTATAAGACATCTCTAATGGAAGTTTTTCTCCAATGGATGGTTTATTTATTTAAATCAGAAAAAAGAATCATACAATAAATAGAGGGGATTTGGTATCTTCCATTAACAAAGATATGACACATAAATAAATAAATAAATCCTAATAACACATATAATCTAGATATTCTTGATTATATAAAATCAACTACTTATTTCTATAATTATAACAACTGCAAAATGGTACTTGAGGACGAAACCTCAACTACAAGGGTAGAGGAAGACTAAAAAGTAGAGGGAAGAAATATAATCCGAGAAGAAAACAATCTCTAGTACACTGGTCTAACCCCCTGTCATTTGTCCCAAACTTTGCATGGAACCCCAGTCACCATAATGCTCATACTGAAAGTCTAAAACCAAATCAAATGAAGAACTTTCAAGCAAAATATGTTTAGTCTGTAGGCTTCCACTTTTCTTAGTTGTTTAGGCTAAAACACAATTTTGGTTCCCCAATGTTTTCAATCCCCAAGTCTGATACTCTTATTTAAAAAACAGAAATATTTAAAATCACTAATTTTAAAAAACTAGGTGACTAAATGTCCCTATTTTGAAATGGGGATACAAAATTGACAAGAGCACAAAGCACCCTCAAACAACCAGTCTCATTACGAACTTACTTGGCACAACTCACACGACATAACTAAAAATCATCATAGGTTCAAAAGAAGAGGATTTGGAGAAAACCATATATTTATGTTGAAACATGTAACATTTTGCTCCATCAAAGATGCCACACCATAATCCCGAAAAAAAAATTACACCAAAAACCTTTCCCTTACCATCCCAAAATTAACTACTGAGGAGAAGCGCCAAGATGTCTTGGAACCACCACTATACCCCTTTTATGCAAGACAATAATGTATTCTTCCCATTTTTATGAAACATCCACATGAACAGTAAGAGACTAAGGAAGAAGTACTAGTAACATCATAATAGTGCTTTGATATGACTACTTTGATATCATTACGTACTCATTGTATAATTATTCTTTTCCATCATAGCGGTTAAGAGAAACATAATAGGGAATATTGATTTTCTAACACTTTCAATTCTGGTATGTAAGAAAAACAATGAACTTAGTGAAGCAAAAGCAGGCAATATTCACGTGACCCAATTCATCCAATGTTCATAGATATCATAGATTCATGCTATCATGTTGAAACTTCAATTCTATGATGCACGGGAACTTCTTGCAAAGTTATCTTTGAAACTTGATTTGATACCCCTCATTATTCCAATTTAGTTCACATTATAAAGCATCAATCACTAGAGATTGACTGCAAAACTATGTACACTGCAGAACAAACAGAAAGCAAGTACAAGCATTCGTCAAACAATTCAAATAGCATGCTTCATCTATTTGCCCCAAGAATGATCCAAATTTATCTAATAATCATAAACATATCAGGCCCAACAAAAAACCCATGTAAAAACCATCTTCCAGGAATGAAAAGGATAATTTTCATCTTTTTGGACTAATGGACTAATCCACAACCTAAAATCTTTTGAGGCCAAAATGGTGTTTTACTCAGCACTTAATTTTTCTAGTACCCTTATAACCCTAGATCCCCACCACGGAACTAGCAGTACGCTGCCACACCCTTTTGTAGCATAAACTGCATAAAGTTGGCAATGGAAGATAGCAGTTGACAATGACATCTAAACTAAATGCTACACCTAGTATCACCCTGAAAAAATCACTATCCTCTAATATGTACATATAAACTCCCTTGGCATAACAACCAAAGAGACACCACTAATTCTCAGGAAGAGGCTATGAAGAAAACCATAAATCTATGCTTAAACATAAAACAGTTTGCGCCATCAAAATATGCCACACCATAATCCGGAAAAACAATTACAAGAAAATCCTTAAAATCCCTGACCATCCCAAAATTAAATAATGAGAAGAACCAAGATGTCTTGCAACAAGCACAATACTCCTTCCCACAAGACAATAATGCATTTTTCCCATTTTCATAAAGCATCCGCAATAAAAATACAGACTTAGGAACAATATATGGATATTCAGTAATAGCACTGCTTTGCTAAAACTACTTTCATTTCATTCCGCACTCACAGTATAATTATTGTTGTCTATCAGAGTGGTTAAGAGGAAAATAACAAGAATACAACAATTATAGTGAAGCAAACGCGAGCCAGACTCAACATTCACATGACCCATTCCAAACTTTGTTCATAGACGTCATAGATTAATATTATCATATCCAAACCTCACCATGATGCACGGGAGCTTCATTTGTAAAGTTATCTTTCAAACTTGATTTGATATTCCTCATTGTTCCAACTTAGGTGGTATTATAATGCATCATTCACTAGAGATTAATCGCAATACTATATACACTGTATAAGTAAAATAAGCATCCTAAAGGGATGATATATGTGACAAGGCTTTCAAGTGCAACAAATAAACAAACGTCCTTATATTTTCTCCTTCGCTCTACCCACATCACCAAATTGGGTGGCGTAAAAATTGCTGCTTTGCAAGGAAAAGGGTATAAAAGGAGCTAATTCTAAATTGAGTATGTGTCCATAAGGCTCAAACAACACGATAACAATTGGAAATGAGATGGGCATGAATAAAACACACAAATACACGCTTCAACTAAATGGAACTGAAGGGTAAGAGGATGAGAACGAAAGAAGGAGCCAACCTACTCATCTCCATCACCAAAACTGTTATACCCCTTTTGCTGGAATTAGGAATTTTAACTCTTTTTCAGACTTTAACTTTCAGTCGTTTGAAACAAATACACTGTCAATTGTTGACTGTGTGAGAAGGGCGTGTACCTGAATTCCGGAAATAATCCGTGAGCAAGTGTTCGGTGCAGCGGTGACTAAAACCGTGTGGCGGAAGAGTGGCAGAACAGTGCAGTGCAGGTGGTGCAAGGACTGAAGCGGTGGCTAGTGATTAGAGAGAATAGGAAGACCATTACAAGATCTAACACACCTTTGATTTTTATAAACACAGCGAATGCGGGTGTTCTAAACTAACCAACTTTTGATTTTATAATGTAAAATTTCTTTATACTTTTATCACAATTTCAACTATTAATCTTTTAGCAGTTAGTTATAAGTACATTTATATATTATTTGCTTTTTCATGTTCAAAAGGTTACTCGGTTTTATTTTATTTTTATTCGATTAAGTAATTAGGAATCGGTTCCATCTTATTCAAAACCGATTCCATCACTCCAAAGCTCAATCCTGCACCTATAGTCAACATAGTAATATTGTAAAACCTTATATCTTATCCTTAAATCGTCTCATCTCAAACGAGATTGGAAAAACAGTACATCTCGCAAATCCATTTCTTCTCTCACTTTTAAATTATTGAAAACGAACATGAACAAAAATTCGCGTCTCACAATCTTCATGAACAGGAAATCCACCCAAGAAAGTACAGCCTTAACCCAAAGCGGGGAAGAAGCAGGAAAGGCACAAATTACAGAAATATCACTGCATAGTTTGATACACGTGTGATAAAGCTCAGGGTAAAATGGTGATTTGGAAGAATATTCAAGTAACAAAAAACAAAGCATAATTTTGTAATGGTGTCAAACTATTAAAATGGTAGTTTTTCTTAGTAGTCTATGTAGAATTGCCAATTGAAATAGCAGTTCACAATGATTTTTTATTTTTTTAATCCATTTTATGTCTTTCTTCAGGTATTTCTTATTTGTCTTATTAAAATTGTTTCTAAGCTTTGTTTCTTGTTAGGTTTTATTCCGCGTTCCCTTGGTTTTGTATTTGAATTTTTTCTTTAAGTTTTGCTTTTTGTTTATTTTGAAATGTTAATATGTCAAAAAAGATAAAGTTGTTATTTTTATGATGTACAAATCAAATGCTGTATAAGTCTATGTGATAGTATTAAGTCATGTTTGGTTGATAGAATAGTTGTTAGAGTATATTAGTTGCTTAAATATATTAATTGCTTATTAAGTTTAGAAATGTTATAAGTCAAGTTAGAATGTTTTTAAAATTAAATTAATCACAAGATAATCAATTAAGATTAGTTTTTTATGAAAAAAATCCAATTTAAATTATATATCCGTCATTTATTTGTACTAATGGATTAACTTACTAATCTAATATATTAAAACAGAACACATTTACAAGATTCAATATTGAAAGACATTAATTGATTACGTTATTTTCATAATCGATTAATATCATCAATAAACAAGTTTGTCTTTAGAAACCAGTTTCCTTCTCATTTTTAACTATGATTTTTGAAATAAAAAATAAGAAAAAGAAATATATGAGAGAGCAATTTTCAAGTTTCCATCTAGATTGAAAGAAGATTGGATTGGTTCTAAGATTGAGATGTAAAATCTACACATCATACAGGTGTATTCATTTCATATTTTTGTTTGTTGTTATTCTATATCTCCTTCACTTTGTAAGTGAAAAGTTAAGGTAATTATGTGTAGCAATACCTTTGGTTGAAAATCTTAAGTATACTTTAAGTTCTTGTATATCTAGAATGTAGGTTTTACATTGACGAATCTTATAATCCTAACTCTTGATATGTTAATAGAATTCTAACTAAGGTTGTCAGAATATGACGTAGATTCTTAAAGAATAAGTATAAAATTGTGTTTCTTGTTCTTTCTTTCATCATCTTTTAGTATCTTGATAATTGTAAAGGTTTCAAAAGCTAAACATTTTATCTTATACATGTTAATTGGTTAAAGATTTTAAGACCAATTTTAAATATTAAAAAAAATTCAAATTATTCAAAACCCAATTCACTCCTCTCTCTTGATTGGAAAATATTAGTTGTAACTATTTTAATAAAGTCTTTTATTCTTTGCTTCCTTTCGCCTTCTTTCAGTTTTTGTGTATAACTTTGGCGTAGACTTTCTTTGGAAGTAGACCATCACTTAAGGTAGCATCTTCTGGAGTGGAAACCAAAGTGAAACTCAAAACTTGAATGAGCGATCAAAGACTTGAGAGAAGACGAGCGAAACACATTGGGGAGGATATCTCTTTCTTGTTTTGTTGTACTTGCATTATTTTTTAAACACTTCGTATTCAGAATAGTTAGATGTGTTAGAGGAGTCTTTGGTATTCTTCTGTCTCCTAGCCTAGTTAGGTGTATTGGAGGAGTCTTTAGTATTCTTATATCTTCTGATTAAAACTTTGTTTCAATTTATTTTAATTAATAAAAGTCTTTAGATGATTAACATGTCTTGAAGGTTCACAAGTACCAAGAAACCTTCTTATGAAAGTTGAATGATACACCACTAAAGATAGTAGTAAAACATGCATTATAAAGAGATGATATCTGATAAAGCCCGCAAGTTAAACAATAAAGAAATGTTCCTATATTTTCTCCTTCCCATTACCCACATCATCAAATTGGGTGGCATAAAAGTCGTTACTTCACAAGGACAAAACAAAATGAATAAAAAGAACCAAATCTAAATCTAGTATGTCTCTGTTGGAATCAAACAATAAGAGAACAATTGGCAATGACATGTGCATGAATTAAACACACAAATGCACGCTTAAACTAAATGAATAGAATTAGAAAGATTACGTGTGAGAAAAATGAATATTACTTTTAACAACAATATTGCTTGGAAGATAATAGTCATGGGATTAGAGAAGATGCCTTAAGCGATTATAAGGGGTCTTGCATAGCCATGCACAGGAGGAGCCAGCACACTTGTCATGTTGTGAAATTTAAGAACCCCAAATTCCTTTTTAGAAGAAAACAATCTCGTTTAGATTACCTCTTTGTAGGGAATTTTCAGATTCAACCAACTAAAAAATAAAATTATTAAAAATTTATCTTAAAAATGGATAATCAATTGATTTTTCTTTTTGTATTAATTTAAATTTTTCTACAACAAAATAATTTGGTTTGCTTTGTAGTTTGACATTTCAGAATATTATTATATTATTATATTATATTAGACATTTTCAAAAGCGTTTGGAAAGCTTTTAAATGGAAAGCAAGAAAGAAAACTTATTTTTATACTGCTTAATTCAAAACTGAGTTACGTCTAGTTCACTCTTAAAGGGTACCACTAATCTTTCAAAAGATTACAAGCAAGTTTGACCTAGTTTGACAAACTAACCTAATTTGTTAGACGAGTTTCAACACTCCTAGTATAACATTAGTTCAATTTAGTAGATCGGTTAACTTTTTTAAGTTAAACTTACAAGTGTTTTGATTCAATTCTGAATCTAAAAACAACAAATTACTTTTGAAATATGAGTACATGTGTTTACTCTATTCAAGAGGATATAAAATCAATACAAAGAATACCTGAAAACTTGTAAAAAAACTTTTCTTTTTCAAAGATGAAGTCTAAACAACGAAAGCTTAAGAGAATGTTGACAATGTAAGAGCAATAATAAATCTTTTTATTCTTGTTCTCGTTTCATGTGGTCTTCTTTATATACACTTCTTCGAAAACGATATGTTACTCAGAGCATTGACTTCCACGTAAGAATGTAGCTTTGTAGTACGAGATCAAATGTTATGTTGCTTCTTGTAGAGGCTATTGTGTTGCTTGTACGAAAGAGATAGACAAAAGACATAAACGAAACATTCCAAGAATATATTCATATCTCTTAACATTCTTCTAATCTGATGCAGAACTTTTGAATAAAGTTTTGTACTTATTTGATTTACATAGAAAAAAAGATCACAGTACAATATACAACGGAGTACCAGTTCGTACATACATTAAAAGCATTAAATGTTTCTTAAACATAGACAATGGAGTACTAGTTTGTACATGCAATGAAAGCATTACAAATTTCTTAAGCGTTTAAGAAATGTATGTGTATAAGCATTTAAGCATACTACATTTTGTTTAGGCATAGTCTGTTTGAGTAACGTTTAATGTTTAGGATATCGTTTATGCATACAACGTTTAATGAACTTATCCTAGGTGATTTATTTGATTAAACGTTATTTCGTTAGATGTTTTTGTTTTACTTCAAAGCAAGGTTTGCTTATATCATCTTGTCTTAACATTCTGCCCCTCTTTTATGTTTAACAAATACATATGTTAATATGAAATAGGTATCATTGAAATTTGTTGAGATATTATAGATGTTTGATCAAAGCATACATATATTGATTAAGGCACTTCTTGAGTTCTATCATGGTAGTCGTTTCTTTATCTTTTTCATAGAAATACTCATACTAGCATATTGAAACAATTAATCAGATCAAGTATGATACATTAGATTATATTCGAAAATGTATCAAAAAATTTGTGAATATGTATCAGAGTATTAATAATAACTATTAGAGCATTAAAACATAAATATCATAGCATTAACATTATATCTATTATCACATAATTGACTTAAGCTAACCAAATTATGTTTCAGGTCATCTACTAATAAAACATTATCAATAAGAGGAGAAGCGTTTATACTTATCCTTCCAATGCCTATGATCTTGCCTTTTTATTTCCTTAGAACGTTCTCGTTCCTCCTTTCTTCTTCGTCAAGTTTTGGAATATACCTTTGTCTTGTCATGTAATGTGAGCACCCACTGTCTAGATACCATGACAAGGGTTTCTTTTCTTTGATTAAGCATATTTGCAAGAGAAATAATTTTATTCTTAGGTACCCATCTTGCATTGGGTTCTATTTTATTAATCTTTTGTATCTTTTTCTTTTCAAAAGTAGATGCACAATTAAAGGATTTCTCATTAGATTTAACAAATTTAACAATTTAGATTTAAACATATAATGAAAATTTTTGCCTTTGAATCCTAGTCCTCTCTTGTTACAAGGATGTCTACAACCTTTGATTAATTCCTTCGAACGTTCTATTCAATATCTTAAGTAAAGTGTCATTTTTAGTTGAAGGAATTCAACGCGTTTAGCATCTTTTGCAATGGTTGAGTTTTGCTTAAGCTTTTCATTTTTCAAAAATAGATTTTCAACTTAAATTTTAGAGTAAACTAGCTTCCTTTCGATGTCCTATTCTATTA